TAGCACCGAACAAAGACGGACCAAATAAACTCTCGTGGTCGAGTTCTTGTGACACCGAGCACGAATATCAACAACCACCAAGAAAAGAGATGAATCTTTATGAACCGAGGCCCCATACTCGACCTCCGAAAATATAAAAAATCCGTAGAGCACGTCGAATCAATCCCGGGCATCGTTTGCACTATCTCGAACGTGTACTTATCAAGCTCAAGCATCGAGAGCACGGGCTTAGGCACACTAAACTCCTCCAAATGGCCACGATCCTCAATAATACGAAACGACGACCCAAAGGACATAAGAATCACGTCATACTCAACATCACAAGTCGACTCATCAATCAATGCACACCTCGGGTCAACAACATCACATAATAGCTCGGAACCCTCCTCAACAACATCCAAAACATCACGATCTAACTCACCCTCCTCCTCAATTTCATCCCCCCGAGCAATTTCAAAACCATTCGACTCATGAATAGGCACAATCAATTCCTCAAATGAGTTCTTCCCCATGCCATACACCATATCAACACCCGATCCCATATGCTCACCCTCAACAAAAGAATTTGAACTCAAAGCATAATCAGCAGAAGAAAGAGTTGACGTACCTAGTGTGGGTTGCACGGTCGAATCGTCAAGAGAGGAGATTTCTTTAACACCCAAATTATCGATGTCCTCACTCGTGTCGAGAGATTGCGTTCCATCATAAACGAGAGTGAGGCCCATCTCTTTCAAGGAGGCTAACCGATCCACCATAGCTTGAAACTCGCTCTCCAACCGGGCGCTCTTCCGTATAATCCTCGCCGATAGAGAACAATATCTTCCAAGCGGAATATAAGATTCATCTAGGTCAAGAAAAGCTACCACGGTGGAATCGAACTTCGTAAGTGTCGTTGAAGAACGAATGGAATTGGAATGCTCCTCCAACTATGAAACACCTCAATGATCGACATGAGGCTCGCAAGTGCCTCTTGAGTGCTCGCCAACAGTTCTCGGTGACGTTCGGTAGGCTCAACCGTTGTTGGAATTGAAGCTTCGGAACTCGAGGTACAAGGTTGGCCAACCGATAGGTGCTCAAATGATAGAGAGGATGGAACAAAGGTCTCGGTTTCTTTCTTTTCGGATATGGGGGCCATTGAAGCACGAAGGGATTGATTTCACTCCTCTAAATGCTCTATAATCTCGGCTAGATTGACTCGAGAAGCTTCCCGAGTCGGCTCGGGTGGAGATGTCCCTTCATAATCGGGAGGCGGAGGGTAGTAGTAGTCCGAGGGTGGAGAATTGGAATAAGACGGCTCGTCGTTACCCGGAATGTCATAAGCATAATCGGCTCGAGATGTCGGGTAAAAATGGCTCGGGCCATACCCGTGGAAGGTAGAGCATTTGTCGTAAGAATAAGAAGGTGAATAACTCGGATATGAACAAGACGGCTCTCCATATGTCGTGTACATCTTCTCTTGGTAATTGTCTGGGTGTCCACGGGACGAGCTTCCAACATAGGAATAATCATACGGGTCCATCAGAGCTCCTCAAGTGAATGACCTCGCACAAGAACAACAAGCAAACCAAGGCACACGAGACCAAGATAAAAATAACACAAAACACGAATAACACGATACAATATATACAAAAACACAAACACCAAATAGCAAGAGAAATCGAAAACAAGCAAGAGAAATACGCAAAATTAAGAAAAATCACAAAAAACAAGAGAAATACGGAAAATAAGTCAATCAGTTGTCTAAATCCAATGGCCTACTCGTCTTCCCCGGCAACAGCGCCATTTTGTTTGTAGAATTTTTGGGTAGGTGGTAACCGAGTTACCCGACTCAGGTTGTTCTCAAAGGAAGGCTCTTCGGAGCTTCGTTCACTATCTATTCGTCAAAGTCACACAACCAAAAAGATCCTAAATATGCTAATCGCTTGAATTGAGGGGTTCGATTTAAGCTAAACTAATCTATGAAATTGAGAGCATTGAAAGCAATTAAAGCACGCTAAGAGATGAGATAATTTAAGGGGGAAAGAGAGATTTTGGTTTGCCGGAGTCTCCATGATCAATCACACGCAAATAACCGAACATTGCCATGCTAGCTAAAACCCTAGGAAGCTAAACCCAACTCTAGCACAAGACGAGCAAGCATTCAACTCCTCTAGAGTTACATCCCCTTTCCATTCAAGAGTTCTCACACTTAGTCAAGCATTCACGATCTAAAGATTCAATCTTTTCCTCCAAGCAACTCAAGCACAATATCAATTTTCACAAAATCAAACAAAGATATACAAAGTAATGGGGCTTAAGACTAAGTACCCACTCTCACACGCACTTGGGAAGAGAACCAGAGTCAAAAGCTTGAAACTTTACTCGAAACAATATCGCCGGAAATTCGCCGGAAAACTTGATTCATAAGCTCCAAACCAAAGCATAAAAAGGAAAAAGAGAAAATAGAGAGGAATTCCCAACTTAAAAGTTGGGAAATGAGGGTTGTCTCCAAAAATACAAAGCATAAGAGCATCTCCAAGAGTCTCTCTATTTTAGACTTTTTATTTGGAGAAATAATGAGTCATCCTATATCCATTTGCATCATATTTTCTGTTGTCCTCCAAGAGCCTCCCTATTTTATAATTTGAATTTGAACCAGACCCACAAATCTATCTAAAAGCCCACTTGAAGCTCACTTGGACTTGGACTTTTGGCCTCAACTAATAAACAGGCTGCCAGCGATCAGATTTCTCGATCCCAGGGAGGCGGCCAATCACCTACGACTCTACGAGTGCTCGGCGCCGCATGTTGGGCCAGGGAGACGACCGGTCATATTAGGAAAACACTGCGAATTTTGCCCTCCGACGGTGCTATCATCAGCCATGGATCGTAGCTTGATTATGCGCATGTTGGATGAGTCATCCTCCGATGACGACGACGAATGCATCGCTGTTACAGAAGCACTTCATGAAGTATATGAATCTCTGAATGCACCGGTTCATGTTGGTTCTGTACTAGGGCATAAAGTTCTTGATCGTGAAAGACATGCAGGGTTTTTGCGATTGTTCAAAGATTACTTTGCAGATGAACCTACATATGGGCCTGATATTTTCCGTCGCAGGTTTGCATTTAGCTAATTATAACACATTCAAAGTTGATGTTGGCCACAATGTATATAATGATTTTTTTTGTTAAACGTGCAGATTTAGAATGGAGAAACATGTTTTTCTACGCATACTGAGGGAGGTCGTAAAACATGATAAATTTTTTGAGCATGAGAGAAATGCAGCGGGTATACTCGGATTGTCCCCTTTGCAAAAGGTTACTGCAGCATTCTATATGATAGCATATGGAGTAGCCGCGGATGCAACTGATGATTACTGTAGACTTGGTGAAAGTACTGCTCTCGAGAGTTTGAGAAGGTTTGTGAAAGACGTTTGTGAAGTTTTTGGTGAGGAATACTTAAGATATCCAACTGTCGAAGATACCGCCAGATTACTTGCCATTAATGAGAAAAGAGGATTTCCGTGTATGTTAGCCTCTCTAGATTGCATGCATTGGAAGTGGAAGAATTGCCCTTCTGCATGGCAAGGAATGTACTGTGGCCATGTGCGAGAGCCAACAATTATTCTGGAAGTTGTGGCCTCGAAAGATCTTTAGATTTGGCATGCTTTCTTTGGTGTATCGGGGTCTCATAATGATATCAATGTGCTTCAGCGGTCTCCACTCTTTGCCAAGCTTGCTGAAGGTAAAGCTCCAAAGGTGAACTACACAGTCAATGGTCACAACTATACAATGGCATATTATCTTGCAGATGGTATTCATCCTCGATGGGCAACGTTGGTCAAGACCATAGAGAGACCACAGGGCAATAAAAAAAAATATTTCGAAACTGCACAAGAGGCAACTATAAAGGATGTGGAGCGAGTATTTGGTGTTTTGCAAGCTCGCTTTGCTATTGTTCGTGGGCCAGCTCGGATGTGGGATGAAGAGACACTAGGATATATCATGAAGGCTTGTGTCATCATGCACAACATGATTATTGAAGATGAGAATGTGGAAGATCCTGACTACAATTATGAGAATGTTGGAGATAAGGTACAACCGTCCCATGATCCTTCACCTGAGCTTGCTGATTATATTGAAAACGTCAGAAAAATTCAAGATAAAGAAGTTCACTCGCAGCTACAGGATGATTTGGTGGAGCATCTTTGGCAGAACCATCCTGATCTTTATAGTAGAGGTTGATATGTGCATTGCCACAACAACTCGATCACATATTTATGGCTTAGATATAAGAACAGTTTTTATTAGATATATTGTTAGTAGATATAGTGTTATTTATATATATTGTTATTTAGATCAATTAATTATTTTAGATAATTAACTATTCTCAACAATGCTTCTTTCTGGTTATCAAAATTAAATTTCAAAGATGACTTCTGGCTATTGTCTTGAAATATTTATGCGTACTGGTTCTATTTTTAGTAATATTTTGTCATGTAGTAGTTTACTATGTGAACAAAAGTTGCAATATATAGTGATCATTGCTTTGTCATGTGGGTCTCGGATGATTTTAGAATTGGTTGTAAAGATTCTGCCCCTGTACTTCATAGATGATGTTGCAAAGTTGAAGAATTAATCGCACGAATATATTACTGGAGTTCAATCCAAAATATATAGGATAGTTCTGTTTTGGTTATGGTTCATTAAAGGATCTTCCAAGATCTTTAATGATTTTCTTTTTCTGTGTAGTCCTCTTAATGCGAGCAGCAGTGTGTATAATTTGTTTGTTGATTGAGACTTAAGATGAATTAACAATAAAAAAAATATGATCAATCATTGAGCCACAACGGCAACAAGTTACAAGGATGAATTAACTATATGCAGTCTTGACAGCTTGAGACTTAAGATATAAAATGGGAAATAGTTCACATATTCCTAAATAGATGCTATGATAAGAACATCATCTCTGAACCAGGCACTAGCATTCTTCTACATCTTTCATTCAAAAGCAAACATCATCTCTCAACCTGAGGCATGGAACGAGCAGCGATCTCCTTCTGGCGGTTACTGAAGTAGATTTGCTGATCGTATGTCAACGCAGTAAGATCCATGCTCATGATCTTGTCTTCCTTGTTGGTTATATTGAACTCAACTTGCTTCTTCTTCAGTGCAGTTCGTTCTTGTTCTAGTGCAAAAGCTTCTTTATACCTCTCCTCTTTCTTTCGCTCTTTTTCAACTTCATACTCTTGTTTCTTGGCCCAAAATGAAGCTAAAGCATCACTGTACACACGATCTCCACCTTTACGTAGTGCTCTTTCGCCCTCTTCTTACCCAGTGGTCTCTTTGGATTTCATCTTCATTACCTGCAGCCTCTTCATCATCTACATGTTTGCTGGTAGAATCACCTGGAGTTGCATCTTCAACAACCTTCTTTTTTTTTCTGAGATGACTTCTCTTTGGAAGCTTGCTGATGTAACCACTTGGGGTGATTACGCAATATGGACCAGCAATGAAGGAATTTAAACTCCTTTTTTTCTTGTGACTCGAACAAAGTTTTTGCTTCCACAAGCTGTAGATAGATGAACAACATCAGCATTTCCAATATAAGCAAAGAGTTAGCATTGTGATAATGAGCAAACATTTACATTGATTCACTTACTCTTTGCTCAATTGTCGTTCCACTTTGCTTCCTAGCCTCGATCTGGGCAATACATCCTACGAACTTGTTAACATGCTCTTGAATAACACTCCAACGATGCATTAGAGAGTTCGCATTGCAACTAGAGGAGAAGTCTTTATTCTCGTGGAAGTAAGCATGAATCCTATTCCAGTATGTGGTTCTTTTCTGATTGTTGCCTTGCACCGGGTCCATACTAATGTTAAGCCATGAATCCACCAATAATACATCCTCATTCTTCTCAATTTTTTTTGTTCTCCCTTTGTTTCCTTGCAAATTTGGCGACTGTTCTTCGTCAGGACTGTTACTCATTCCATCCACTTGATGTCCCTCTAATCCATCATTCAACAGATTGGTGTCATATCCATTGAATTCAACATAGCCTATACCAAATACAATGCCGATCAGCCAAGCACATCAAAAATATTGTTCAGCAAACACAACAATCACTCATGAGCACCAAATATTGTTCAACAAACACAACAATATATAAGCAATATATAAGGTATGGCACACAGCA